GCATCAAAGGAACTTGAGGACTATTGCAGCAAAAATGACCTTGCACTTAATACCGCTAAAACTTATCACATTCGATTCTTACCAAAAAATCTGAATAAGAGAGAGAGAATATGAAATTCTTAGGTATTGTTCTTGATAGAAATCTTTCATGGGAAGATCATATCACCACTTTGTGCTCAAAACTTAGTACAATCTCATATATAATTATTAGGAACATGAGGGATACAGTGTCAGCAGAGGTACTGAGGATTCTCTACTTCGGATTGGCACAGTCAGCTCTGCAATACGGCTCAATATTTTGGGGATCCTCGAGGCATTCAGGTCCCAAAAAAAAATTATTGGAACTATGAACAAAACTCACCCTTCAGAACCTTGTAAACCATTATTCAGAAAATTGAAAATATTAACGCTACCTTGCCTTTATATCTTGAACCTAATAATTTTTATAAAAGACAATGAAAATGAATTTCCGAAAAATTACCAGATACATGGATATGATACAAGGAATAAGGACAACATTCATCTGCCCTTTTCCCGTCTGCTGATTGGAAAAAATTCCCCAAAATATGTTGGTATCAGATGTTTCAATAAGATGAAAAATCTAATAGACATGAGCGGTAGCATGTCAACAATTGGAATTAGGATATCAACATTTCTGAGTGATAAAGCTTTCTATAGCGTTGAAGAGTTTCTGGGCTCCTGAATATATTTTGAAACTATTTTAATAGATATGTTGTCCCTATCTGTTTTATCTGTTTTATTTCATATACATTCTTGTATTTATGTACTACACTTGGATGATATTGTATTTGTCATGTATATAATTTGAAATTATAGTCATTCGAGTTTTGAATTGATAAGTTGTCCAAGTGTTATATGTTTATTCCATTTTAAAAATTGTTTCTATTCAGTCTATCTCTATTACACTTAGTTTTTGTATTTTTTCGTTTCCTGACTAGTCCGATAAGTTTATGCATTTTGCTGTAGTCTTCACCACACGATGTGTATTCTTTTGTGATGAATAAATGATTTCTGATTTCAATTTCGTAAATAACAGAAGGGATAAAAACAATATGAGTGATGATGAAAACAAAACAAAAAAAATACAATACATTTTACGAATTTAGATAAGAAAAGAACTGATCGATTGGATAGGGGCTTAGTTCAAAAAGTAATTTTATTTTTTCTTGTTTGAAAACTTGTTCTTTTGTGAGGTTCTTAAAAAACTCCGGAAGTGCATTATATATAGTCTCAGCCTCAGAAACTCGAACGAGTTCGATCGCAGAGACAAACGTGTCTTGGGTGAGTGAAAATCATTTTTGTCACGAGACTATAATCATGGAATGTTTGGTTCTGTTTTAAATCTTCCTTATTTTTATGAATGTACAATAAAACTTCTAGAATATAGAGACCTGGAAGAGGCAAAGTTATCAATTTTTCAAATAATGTTCAGCACGATGCTGTTTGTGATGCGTTTGCAATTGTTCTAATGATTCTCTTTTGTGTCACAAAAACGATAAAAGAAGACCAGAGTTGTCCAAAATTCTTTTTAGGTTTCGTAGCAGGTAACACTGCTTCATTCTAAAACATCACTAACTATCTGGCTTATACAGTAGTCTATATATATACGTTGAGAATTGAGTATATCCAACATACAATTAAATAATGTGTGAAAAAATTATTGAAACTTATATAATTCGACAACCACAGTGTTCTTGCGAAAAACCATAGCATTCGGAATCTATTTCAAGGGTGTCTGAATTTAGTCAAATGCTTGACCATGTTGTTCTCGGAAATTTCAGTGAGGAATTTTTTCACACAGGATTTCCATATAACCGTTAGATACTCATATAATCTGAAGAAACATTTCGAGGCAACAAATCACTAAAACATTTTTGTCCTACCAAGAGCCTTTTGAAAATTATATGTATCATCCTGTGGTAGTATAATTATCATCCTTCGGAGCTGCAACAAATCACCTGAACAGATTCGATAACATGAAACGAGAATTCAAGGACTGGAAATATATCGGATATCGGTAGAGTAAATTGGAAGTTTGAATGACTCTAATTTGATCAAAAATTTTCATTCCACGTTTCACATGTTAGTTGCTATCAATATAAAAAACCGGAGACAAATTGGATTGTAGTAAAATCTGTCAATCAATAATATTATTATGATGCCCATCAAAAGTCAATTCCCTGTAATGTAACACTTTGAAGTGACAATTGTTACTTTTTCAACTGGTAATTGCAACTCGAAGATGATATTTATTACCAATTTCAAATAATGAAAATATTGTTTTAAGTTCAAGAGTAAAACTGAAAATTGCCACTTATAAGTGATTGCGTGATTACGATAATAATAATAATAAACAGAAAATGCATAAGTATAAATTTTTACGTAATATAAGGAAGAAAAGTATTCTTTTCTGTACAGGGAAGGAGACTACCTTTTCCAAACTACCTAAACCTAAGCTACCTGACCTAACCTAACCTACCTAACTCGGCCTAAATGAACGTTCTTCCTCGAACGTATATTTTTCGCATACTCAATTACTTGAGAGAACATAAGGGACTTCTTTTTCAAAACAATCTAACCCTTACTCGGCCTAGACCCTTTTTTTCAAATAATCTAACTCGACTCGTTCAAATGAACCCTTATCCTAGAATGTATATTCATTTTTCAGCAATCGAAAATTGGATGAATGGAAAATTGGGTGAATCGAAAATTAGGTGAAACGAAATGTTGGCCTTACGACATATTTGAATATGAAATGATTATTGATAATTCCCGTTTCATTGAATCCGAGGAAATGTGGTACTCCCTAATAGCACACAACGTCCTTGGGACGTCCCTATTTGGTACAATTCACGTCCGAATGTCCCGAACCAAAAATAAGTGTCCTTGGGACGTCCAACCCGTACATCTCATGCAATGTCCAAGCAAGGATGTCCACGGAATGTCCCAGCTGGTACATCATTTCAAATGTCCTAGAAATAGCATCCCTTGACGTACCACGTGGTACATATTGTAGAAAGTCCATGCAAGGACGTCCTTGGCATGTCCCTGATGGGATATGATTTTAAACGTTCCATGAAATGTCCCTGATGGTACATTCCTTCAAATATCTCTGCACAGACTCCCTTAATATTTCCAGGATCGTTTAACAATCGAAATGTCCCTTAGGGATATCCTTCGAATGTCCCTTAGGGATATCCGTCGGATGTCCCAATTGGTACATGAACTGTACACGTTATTCCATTGGACATCCTTGGGAAACTTTTTGGGGACCTTCTACGGACCATCAACTCAACTGGATGTCCTAATCTGTTATGCAAGATCTGGTCCTAGAGGGACCCAGAAAAATTCAAATTCAAGAATAATTCGTACGTCCTTCGATAGTCGTTCCAGGGACATCCCTCAAGGACGTCCCTAGTTGGTCCTCAAGCGCGACATTTGTGCGTCCCACAGACGTCCAATGGACGTCAACGGTACCAAATTCGAACGTCCTATGGAAGTCCTGAATGTCCCGACAGTACGTCCTAAGGATATCCATGGGACATGAGTGTGTTATTAGGGCTATTACTTGACAACAACGCATCTTTCGGGCATGTTTGGAGACGGTAGGTGAATCGAGAATAGGGTGAATCGAGAATTGGGTAAACCGAAAATTGGGCGAATCGAAAATTTTGAAAATTTTATTTATAATATTGAAGGTATATATCTTGAGCATTTTCGAAGAATATCAACCGTTCCGGTTCTTTCAACTAGCCCCCGTATGGATGAAAATAAAATGATATTCTCACTTCAAACAGGTAAAAATATTATTTTTCTACGGCTATAATACAAAATGTCTCTTGTTTTACTGTGTTCAATAAATCAATGTGGTACCTACTTTGTTTGTCATCAATTTCAATTCCGTATCTGATACGATGACTTCATATTGTAGTTAGTTATTATTTCACAAAATCCGGTATCTGTATGTAATCTCGAGCAATGACAGCTCTATCTAATAGCATTACTTAAAAAGAATCATATGGCTACAAGTCGAAGAAATAAAAATTTCGCTGTTATCTGCTACAGCCGTAGAAAAAGTGTAGTGTATAACTCGCACGGAATGCTAATTTTCCCCTCGTATGATTTGCAGCATTCGCCTACGGCTTCATTCTCGTGGAAAACAACTATCATTTCGTGCTCGTTAAACAATATATACTATTACCTACTACCAATACCAATATGTAATGTGAAACATTACGACACAGATTTTAGTTCAGTAAAGTAACATTTTTAGGCCTCAAATAAAGGTCATGACCGAGGTGCACTTGTAACTTTCTGCCCGCCTGAGCGTAAAAGTTACTTTTAGGCCCACATAATCGGGCGTGAAGTGTCACTTTTAGGCCCACGGGCCTAAGATGATGTTGAAACGATAATATTTTTTTCATTCACATTGTCAACAAAAAATTTAGAATTCAACTCGTTCAGATATCTGAATTGCGCTGAAAAATCATTAAACTTTCAAAAATAAATTAAAACCAGTGAAGGTTATTTAATCATTCAACAGAAATCAGATTCATAATGATTGACAATTTTTACACTCACATATACATCAATCACCTCTCTAGAATTTATTCTGTTCTGGTAGAGATTATCTTTTTTGGCTTAAAGAGCTCATAACTTTTTTAAGGGGAATAACGGTTCTTGTTCAGCATGATTTAATCTATTTGATACTGAACTTCTACAATATTTCATCGTAGACAAGAAATATTTCGATGTAAATGGTGCGGGGTCCTTTATTGATGAAAATAGAGTTGATGATGTTCTAGGTTTTCGTAATTAATAAATGAAGAACCATGACAAATCTTGGGAAAATTTAGCTAGACAATCTTGAATACGGATCTGGATCTTTTCATTCGGGAATCCTTCTATTGAAATTACAGGAATTCCTGATGGCCTTTACACAGAAATGTCCTTGCGTAAGATCTCTACAATTAAGAAAATTACACCTCATCTGGTTCCATTTCCCTTTCAATAATTTCCCTGGAGGTCTTCAGCATATCGACCTGCTCTTGATCGTCCATACGTGTTTGATTGCTCAAATTCGAACTGTGCGGGTCCGCCAAAATTTCCATTTGATTGTCGAGTGGCTGAATTCGCTCTAATTCAATAGATACCCTGCTCGCCAAATCCGATAACTGAAACAGAAATGGATGTAGTACCGTGAGGTTTATTATACAGGATGTGAATGAATGAATGCAAAAAAGTCAGAAGTTGATTTTAGTTTTTGAATTGACTCGGCCGTTACTTGACGGAAATCCATGGCAAATGTAAAAACTTCACAAACGATAAGATTTCCACAAAATACATAAAATGTAACATAAAAATGGTAGCATATTATAGTATGAAGCACAGGCTAGTGGATGTCCCTCTTTCGGAAGAAAATTTCAATAAGGACCTCAATATCATAAAACAGATTGCAGTCAACAACGGATTCAACATTAATTTGATAGACAGTATTCTTTCTAAAAAACTTCATGATAAAGCTATTCAAGAATAAGAATCAAAATGATAGAACTTTAACCTATTTCGGATCATCAACTTTGCTTCATTTCTACATAAACAGGACTTGAAAGTAGCATATACAGGGTGTTCCACAGATAAAGGGAAATATTTCAATGGTACATAAGGGTCACCAAGGTGGATCTGAAAATACCATATTTGATAGGTCTTAGAGTCTTCATAACGGAGATACAGGGCGATTTATCGATTTCGAATAATTCTTCATTCGTTTATAAGTATTGAACTACCCAGTATAAATTCCTGAAATCTGGTATGGAGCTTAAAATTGGGACGTTGAATTCATTCACCTATCGGGCGAAGTGAAAATCCAGGTTCGGCTTCAGGAAAAATTTACATTTATTCAAAATATTAAAATAACACACTGTATGTAATAACTGACAGAGTTCATCGAAGGAATCGTGGAGAGGAGGAAAATCTGAATTGGATTTGATGCTTTTTGTTTTCCCGCCACCAATTCTCATCGTAACAATCATAAACAGGAAGCTAAAAGTATGTCAATTTCAAGAGTATTAAAATTATGAAACCACTTTTATTTGAGATATTCTTGTTAAATGATCGTTCGAAAGAACTTACTAAGTCTCACTTTATAACAGAGATACAGGGTGAATTATCACTCGCCAATAAACTACTCATCGCAGTAATATTTTCTCAAATTTGGTATTGAACTTACTTGGGACGATGGATTCATTGACCTATCAGGCAGAATGGAAATACAGGTTCAGCTTCAGGAAAAGTCTCATAGTCTTTATAACAGAGATACAGGGTGAATTATCGAATTATAATTATTTGGTATTATTTCCATTCCGCCTGATAGGTTAATGAATCCATTGTCCCAAGTAAGCTATATACCAAATTTGAGAACATGTTACTGGGTAGTTTTATACTTATGGACGAGTGAATAATTATTCAAAATCGATAGTTCACCCTGTATATCCGTTATAAAAACTGTGAGACTTAGTAAGTTTTTTCGAGCGATTTTTTGACTGAAATATATCGAATAATCATAATTGACGCTGGTTTCATAATTTCAATACTCTTCAAATTGACATATTTTCAGCTTTCTGTTAATGATTGTTACGATGGTAATTGGTGGCGGAAAAACAAAAAGCATCAAATCCAGTTCAGTTTTTACTCCTCTTCACGATTCCTTTGATGAACTCTGTCAATTATTACATACAGTGTGTTATTTTAATATTTCGAATAAATGTAAATTCTTCCTGAAGCCGAACCTGGATTTTCACTTCGCCCGATAGATGAATGAATTCAACGTCTCAAGTATAAGCTCCATACCAAATTTTAGAAAAATATACTGGGAAGGTCAATACATTGTATATAGACGAATGAATAATTAATCGAAATCGATAAATCGCCCTGTATCTCCGTTATGAAGACTCTAAGACCTATCAAATATGGTATTTTCAGAACCACCTTGGTGACCCCTATCTACCATTGAAATATTTCCCTTTACCTGTGAAACACCCTGTAGAACGAATAACACGTTGGGAAGGTTTATAAAAAATAATAAAGACAAAACTTCTAAATTCGAAAAATCAGGGATATACAGGGTGATTCAAAAGTAAGCGGCATCCTTTCAGAGGCGTATTCCTTGCATGAAAATAAGGCAAAAAGTTCCTATTGATAAGGATCCGAAAATGCTTCCTAAGGGAGCTACGGCCCTTTGAATAGGACACCTCAAAGACGGTTTTTTCTCTATAACTTTAAAATCCTTCACAACAAATTTTTAAAAATTGGTGTACGGCATAAACATTCGATGGTAACTAGGACTCCGTATTCGAAATTTCAGAATTTCATTCAGGGGCGTCACATGCGGGAGAGGGTAAGTGTAAAAATATCCCTTCTTCTCCGGATATTCAGGTTACTGTGATTTCGTTTGGAAATTATTTCGAATACGGAGTCCTATTTACCATCGAATGTTTATGCCGTACACCAATTTTTAAAAATTTGTTGTGAAGGATTTTAAAGTTATAGAGAAAAAACCGTCTTTGAGGTGTCCTATTCAAAGGGCCGTAGCTCCCTTAGGAAGCATTTTCGGATCCTTATCAATAGGAACTTTTTGCCTTATTTTCATGCAAGGAATACGCCTCTGAAAGGATGCCGCTTACTTTTGAATCACCCTGTATATCGGTCAGACAGGTCATATTGAGAAACAAATAATGTTCATTGGAAAACAAGATCATCTGAACGTGGAAACTTTGAGTCTATTTATGATTATATCAAAATAAAAGCACGAAAACTGTCAATATGGCTTGAGTTGAGAATCATCAGAATATTCGAATTCAGCACGCCCTGATTTTTCAAACACGAATTGTTCTCCACGTCTAGTCTTTCAGTCATGATTGATGATTCTACCAACAATTTCAACAAAATTGACATTTCGACGAAGTTGTGATAATCTACATCATTCTTATCCTATTCAGAATGCTCATATCCCGTGCACTAATAGAAATATTTCATTCAACTATTTCTTATATCGTATCATAGTATCAGAAGTAATGAATTCAAACCGTCGTAAGTCACCCGAATCTACAGTGTTAGTCGAAGGTGAAGATGGATGCTTAATTTTTACACTTCTTGGAGATATGCAAGTACCAGAACATTCTCTTCGATTTCACTTTCGTCTACATTTCGCATATATTTTTAATGAAGAATTCTGATACAGACGAATATTGTTTGAATAATTCTGATACAAAATTTGAAAATTACAGTTGACAGTGAATACAATTGACAGGCCAGACATGTCTCAAATTACTGAAGCTGTGTTTAATGAATTGTGGTGCCATTGTAATGTGTTTAATAAATCGTGTCGCCATGGTAACGTGTTTAATATTTTGAATAAATCACAGATCGACAATCCGTGATTAATCGATCATTTAGCGAGGTACATATCCGTACGCTAAATGCCATTTTAGTTATGTGAGTAGAAAATAGTATAATATGTAACAAGTGTTATAAACGCCCTTTTAGTAACGAGTATTTTAACCACGAGCGGAGCAGAGCGGAGCAGAGCGGAGCAGAGCGGAGCTAGTGTTCAATATACGAGTGTCTAGAAGAGTTTATGAACGCGTTACATACTATGCTTTTTCTAAGAACTCCGAAAATTACATTAACATACCTGCTATTCCTGCTAACCTACACAATAATTCGAAAGGAATGGGAATCGAGAACATAATACATGCAACTGCATGCAACCAGCGAGACACGTATAAGTGATAGGTATTGGTTGTAGATGTGTCCAGTCCATTGCTTACCAACCTTTGTTTCACGTTTATTCTCATGCTTAGCGCAGAATGAATAAATTGTTCTTAAAGATGGATGCTTCATTTTTACACTTCTTGGAGATATGCAAGTACCAGAACATTCTCTTCGATTTCACTTTCTTCTACATTTCGCATATATTTTTGATGAAGAATTCTGATACAAACGAATATTGTTTGAATAATTCTGATACAAAATTTGAAAGTTACAGTTGTCAGTTAATACAATTGACAGGCCAGACATGTCTCAAATTACTAAAGCTGTGTTTAATGAACTGTGTTGCCATGGTAATGTGTTTAAGAAATCGTGTTGCCATGGTGACGTGTTTAATATTTTGAATAAATCACAGATCGTCAATTCGTGATAAATCGATCATTTAGCGTGGTACATATCCGTACGCTAAATGCCATTTTAGTTATGTGAGTAGAAAAAGTATTGAACAGGATATGAAGAATTATTTTTATTACATTTCAGGCTATCATTGAGAATTGTATTGGGCATAATCAGTAATATCAGTACTTTGGAGTAATGTTCACAGTAAATATGATTCTCCTCAATCAGGCCCTTTCCGGCCTTACGGCGACTCTAAATATTTCGCACATCTCTGGCATAGTTTCAAGGCACACCTGATCTACATAAATTCGCAGAATGTGACACCATGTTCGGCTTAATTGGGTCATTCTGATAATGGTCAAATTATACAGGGTGTCCGAAAATTATGTGCTAAAAATCAAGGGGATGATTCTGTATGAGAAAACAAGAAATTTATTCCATATATATACGTCCGGAAATGCATAGTATACAAGATACAGTGTTTAAACTTAAATTAAAAATCGGATTTTTATGAATGTCTCAAATGTCCTTCCACCGATTTTCTTTCAATATGGCAATGATATGTTTCGTCATGAGGAGCTAATTCAACCATAATTGAATTGGAATTTAGAAATCCAGTGGCGTCCCGGGGGGCACCCTAATGAATAAAATTGTCCATATAATGTGCGTCATTGGTTTTTTTTCAATTCTATTCTATTGATGAACTAAAAATACAACATTTTGGTCTCTTGAATTGTTTAGATATTTTGCTTCGTTTCCGTGGAAAAAAATAAACACCAATTTATTGTATAAATTCGTGCATAAAATTCCTTCAAAAACTGGGGTGAAAATGAATGTGTGGTCCATGACCATAGACATAGAATGGGGATGAAGATTCTTAGACAAAGAATTTTTGATATGTGTGAGGTAATCAAAGAAAAAGAGGGAATGTTCGCCCTGAAATGGAAGGACATCACTTTGAAACTTTGTTGTAAAGATTATGTACTAATTTGTTGTTTAGGAAGTTATTAGTGGAACAGAGTGATAATCTCTCACTGAATAAACTTGTTAATTTTTTTAATGTTCTTCTCGGTCTTTGATCAAGATAGAACAGGAGGACATTTTCCAAATATGCCTGATCTTTATTAAAAGATACGAGGATAGAAAATCCAAAACTGTCGATAAATAAATATTGAATCTAGGGCAGGAAGAAAATCTTACAGTCAACTCCGATTCCTGCCCTATTATCTTCACTCCGCTGCAAGATGGATCGACTCAGATGGTTAAATATTGAATCTATTTTTTTGGCTAAGCCACACTGTACTTTGCCCTGACTGTACGAATACCTCGTCTGTGCATGTCGCTCCATTTTCAATCAATGCATTGAACTTTCTCAGTAAATCCACTGCCTGATTATTCATTCCAGCAGTGAGGCAACAGACACTTGCATTCAATATCAGGTGAAGATCTTCTGGGGAGAGAAGTAGCGCTTGATGAAACGCTCTAGCAGCGTTTTCGGGATCCTTGAGTTCAATGAGCGATGCTGGAATATGAAAAAGTCAATCGCTTTATTTCCGGAAGTCGTGAAAAGTACTTACTAATATTAGATCATTACAATTTGAATATTCATTGGGAAAATTTGTTCGATTCCACATTCTCTTTGATACAAGAAAGATCATGATTTTGAACAAGAGGACAACTTCACACTTTTTCAATATTATTTGAATATCTTCAGATACAACGTGCGTTATGTATGTTTGTTGTGCTAAAGCCGAGGATAAACCCCATATGTAGGAACAGTATTCTGAAACGGGCCGTATCTGTTGCTTCGTAGATTATGAGAATCTTTTGAGGTGTAAAATAGCTTTTTGCTTGAAATGAAAATCCGAATTTCCGTGAAGCAGCTTTTGCGATTAACACTATTACAATATAAAGTCATGTGCTTATACATCTTTCCTGTGGAAATGTAGACAAACACTGACAAACAGGGATGGAAATGTAGACAAACAGAGATGGAATTATATACTTGATGGTTTTCCAAAGAGACTCATTTTATGGATGTCCGATCCATTTATATTTGGTCCGGATATTTAATGGCCATCCGTAGGATACCTCTTTACAGATATTCATTCGAAATTATGAATGCGTATCCATTCGAAGTTCAGGAACAAAAGTAAATATACGATTGTTTTCAAGCAGATAGAATTTGTGTACGATACATCAGGCAGTCGATAAATATTATAAAATCTTAGATCGGTTTATCAAATATCAATTAGGTTTGGTGAATTTTCTGAAGCATAATATATTTTTGTACTGAATCAGCGACCGAGAACAAAAAAAAATATTTCAAACAATCATTTCGTCATTTATATGTATTCATGTTTGCTTTGGACATTTTGTGACTATTCATACAATATCTTCTCAAAAATATCCATTACAGATCCTCGTTAGATTCCTATAGATATTCATCACTTCTAATCCAGTGATATTCTGGTCAGAATTGGACATGAAGAGAATATCCATAGGATATCCTGTGTTATGTGAAAAAATAGTCCAAACGCCTTAGTGGAAGGCTTTGAGGAATGTTTTCATCAGTTTTATGAATAGTTTTTTCTTATGAAGAGAAATGTGTTAATGACTTCATAATGGGATTTTTTCCATAGCAAACGGGATACGCTTTGATCTATATTCTTCTTCAAGGTTGTCTTCTCGGGACACCTTGTACATTCGTATTGTATTGTTAGGGGCAACTTTAACCACAAAAGAACCGAGTTTCATGTAGTTTTGAACTGATGAATTAAATGCTTGAATGAGTGTGTTGTACCCGCATCTTGTTCCATCCCAATTCAACAGCGAAATTGAACAGACACATCAATCGTTAACTGCCAGATGTAGTGATATGATGTAATCGATATTCAGTTGGTACACGAAACGATAACACAAGTTATTTCCTGAAATTCCAAATTGATACCTAGGATAATCCACTGACATAGCTGAAATCTAGATCACCAGTGGTCACATCTCAACAAACCGAAAATCTCGGGTAAATTGCTCGCCTGAAAACGCTTCTACTCAATGCGCAGGAACCCTCAAACTGCCGTTCATGACAGTGAGTAATGTTTCTGGGTTAGTAAGAGTTTATAAAATTAATATCACCATGCTTTTACACTGCTGTCCATCTATCCTAACGGTCGTTTGCCACATCTTCAACTAGTGCCTGAGTAAAAACGTGTTTCCATCCAAAGTACCTAATCCTAAAGAATACAAATGTCTTCGACCTATAAGCATACTCTGCACGCTCTCTAAGGCCTTCGAAAAAAAAGTTTTTCGTCAGGTGCTGCGTCATTTAGAAAAAAATATAATAATACCTTGGTGTCAGTCTGGTTTCAGATCTCAGCACAGCTGCATCACAACACTCCTAATCAAACGCCAACTATTATTGCCTATTCTTCATTACAATTGATTCTCTGCAGAAACCGTTCCTTTACTACAAGCTCACTTGTTCAATCGCATGCAAGCATGCAGTACTATTAGATCAGCGCTGCTCTGAGTTTCTTGTTGTGGAAAACGGAGTGCCGCAAGGATCAATTTTAGGTCCCGTACTTTTTATCTTACATACACACGAATTCCATAAGCAAGTTCAGTTCAGCAGTTGTCACTTTTATGCGGATGATACGCAAATATACATGTCATTCCCCAAAAACGAGTTATTGAAAGCGAACATTAGGCTCAATTCGGACCTTGAAGTATATTGTCATGTTATTTGGTAAAAAAAAGCCCGTGCCCGTTGCTCGGATTCTTTCATTATCAAAATCAAGGATTGTATACTTCCTCTGTCTGAAAATTCAAAGAGCCTTGGGATTATACTTGATTCGTCGCTCAATTTCACCAGACATGTCAAAATGATCCTCAGGCGCGCTTTTTGTAATCTGAAATTGATTTATGCCAACAGAAAAGTCTTAGACAAACGTAATACAATAACTCTATGTGAGGCTCTAGTTCTCTCACACTTAAGTTATGCGGACATCATCTACGGACCTGCCATAACTAAAAAACATCTCCAACGGCTTCAACTCTTTCAAAACTCTTGCGTGCGTCTCATCTGTGGACTGAGTCGACGTGATCATATTTCCGGACCTTTGAAAGAGCTAAGATGGCTCAATGTTGGAAACAGGCAAATTCTTCACTCATGTATATTATTTCACAAAATTATAACTACACAGAAACCGCCATACCTACATCAAGAAATTACATTTCGTACCGATGTCCATAACCTGAATACACGATTCAAAACTGTACTTACTCCACCCCTGTATAATTCATCAGAATACCAAAAAACTGGGAATACGTATAATTTCAAACATAAGCTGAAGAAATTTCTCCCATCAGGCGATCTCTCCAAAATATACGTAAATATATTTATTTATGAATATATACAGGGTGTTTCTTCGAAATTCATTAACAAAAAACAAAAATAAGTATTCGACTTTGACACGCTGTATTTCAAAAACGGATAATCTTCGGACATATGTTTATACGGACTTTTCTTCTTATTTTGACGTCAGCAACATGATCCTGAATTTTCTACACGTACTCAAGAAACACCCTGTATATTATAACATTGTGATGAATCTCGATCCATAACGTCGAGGAAAAAATAATTGTTTTTATTCTGATATTCAGAATGAAAGTCAGCGAAAGAATGTTTTGGATTTTTTCTAAAAGTTGAACGGCTTTTATCATGAAAAATATTATCGGATACAAAAATATTTGAGTATAATATTTTTTGTGTAAAATTATCTTTTCTTTCGTTTTGACTTCAAGTATATTTGTCGCATAATCAATATTCACCGAGAAAAATCAGAAAAACCGTTTGTTAGCATCTGTAGAGTGTTCGAGGAGCTATTCAGGTCATCAATATACATATACCTGAAAACACTAACACTGAAACCTTTTATATGGATTATTCCGCAGTTTGGCATTTTTTTCGACTAATTTGATTATACTATGATTTATGAAGACTACAGGAGAAAAGGGGGAATGTCACAAAAATCAAGTTTCGAGAAAAGCGCATTTCACAGTTTAAAACCTCCTTTCTTTTTGGAAGTTGAAGGAAACTGAAATCAAACCACCTGGATTCATTTGATGTAGTATAATGAGCAATAAAGTTGAACAACTTGAAATAAAAATCATATTTGAATGGAAAAATCATCGAAAATAAGAAATAAGTCAAAAAGAAACTGGATTGTTTACTCGCAATTATCTGCTCTGGTAGATTTCTCCATTCTTGCCCGACTACCTAATGAGTCCTTACCTAGTAAGTTGTCATATATAGTACAGCTAGCATCTCTAAAATTTGATCATTTTCTATAAATTCTACGCGTTATGAGTGGGAATCATCATGTAGCAATCTCATTATTTCATTCCCATCACTCAGACGTACTCGACAAGCCCAGTCAACACACGTTTTTGTCGTCAACCTCGAAATATGTCAAAAAACTCAAAACTCGTTTATACATGGAACGGCAATGCTTTGGAATTTTTTGCCTGACAGAGTATTCCTTATTCTCCCTAGGTACCCATAATGTGCCCCAAACATTATATTGATTCCCTTTGGTACGCTCCAAGAGATAAAAAAAAAGGTGGCCGTATCTCTTTTTTTTCTCATTATTTGTTTGCCTGAGAGTTCACTCTGACCTTTTGACAGTGTGGAAACAACCTATTAAAATCACAATGGAATCTGTATTCAAGCAAGCACTAAGCTTGGACGTTCCCCTTTCTTCACATTTTTGAAGTGGACATTCCGCGTTTTTTCCATGTGAACGTATTTTCGAACGAGTATATTAGCTGACTATGCTGCGTTATTGCTATGGACCTTTCTTTATACTGAAATAGTGGAATATTATATTGTGCAACAAGTGGGAAAAGGATAACTTTTCTCACGAGTGTGAAAATTTGTGGCACGAGCCTGAAGGGCGAGTGATGCAAACACACGAGTGAGAAAAGTGTTCTTCCCCACATGTTGCACACTATACTTTCTCTACAACTGCACTTATTCAAAGAATCCAAGTAATGTAGCTTATGGTATTCATTTTATAATGTGGCACTATGCCACATTTAATATTGTGACCAAAGAGTAGACGCCTTTCCTAGTTCCTCAAACTATTTAAAAAAAGTACACTTTCCGGAGAAGATTTTATTTCTGTATCTTTTCAGATTCCATAAATTTTTCGTTTATGCCAATTCATACTTTTTTCTTGAAATTTCCGGAAACAAATCCAACTTTCGCAGCTTCTTCCATTATCTCTGTCGGTGTTTTCATCAAAATCGTAACATCTAGGTATATACATAATATTATTTATTATGAATTGTTGGAATGATATTTTATGGAAAATGCGATTTCTATCGAAAGCACTAATGAGAGCTACCCTGAAGAATTTAAAAAACTTCTTCTGCAAGTTCTGACAACTATTCAAAGCTGAACAGCAGCCAAGTTTTGGTCGATTCTTGTTGATTCTCCATGGAGATGTATGTGGTGTTGGCAAAGTGCCGTGAGAAAAAATATTTCTCACAGTACGAGCAATACATGGTATTGAAACTAATAAGTTAGCTATGAGAAATGCGCTACTTTTCATAGCAGTAGTAGAAAAAATATAGTGGTTAGGCTATCAGATGGCGGTGTCAAGTCTATTTCCACTATATTGTGACATTCCTCCTTTTTCCCTTGTGAATTTCATATCCTAATGCTGATCTCTTTTATTAGGTACTCACCTCCCAAAACGGCAAAACAGTCCGCAACATCCGACCGCAGATTGACTGCCGCGCAAGCAAAGTTGAAGGCAGACGCTGGCTGCAAGGTGGCTAAATGAGCTAATCCCAAATTAAAGAGCGTCCTCCAGTTGAGCGGCTGCACCCACAATGCCCTCTTCAAGCAGCTTATGGCCTGGAATATTGCCTCTGATGTAATTACCTACTAGATTAGTCCTATTAGCCGTTCATTGGATGTCTGAACGTTTCTCCGAATTTTCTTGGCACGGACGTATATACACACATACAGGTTGTTTCAGAAACAGGTGGCATCATTGCAGGGATGAGTAAAACACTGCAAAATATGTTGGGTTTGCTCAGTGATAAATGTTTGTAACGGCATCCGCATTCAAGTTTCAAGGTGTTAAAAAACTTAACTTACGGCCACCAAATGAAGTAGGCAACAACACACGAGATACAGCCTCAGTAAGTTGCTCTTTACGCATAGTAAGCACATCGCACAGTTTCCGTTTATTCCGCCAGTATAGGTATCTCATGATCGCGTAATAGCCGGCAACAGCGGATGACATAACTGTCAAGAATTATAATTCAGACTGTTTGTCCAAACTTTTTTGGTGTACTGTATGGCAGTAGGTAAAGTACTGAAGTATAGTACGTAATGCGTGTTGTAAAGCAATTACGCACTCATGGAATTACGCACTCGCTGCTCCGCGGCTACGTGCGTAACTTTTCCATTCTTGCGTAATATGCTTCTTACAACACATATATCGTAATATACTAATATCAGTTATTATTTCATCATTTTCAAATCCGTATATCACGACCCAGCAAACATTAATACATGAGTCATCACTTTCGGAGCAATGTCACCCCAGTGAACAATCATTCATTCACAAAAGTTGCCAACTTAACGCCAATATTGGTGAAGCAGTACTTCCACATATTGCTTATTCATTGTTGGCCCAGTGATGACTCACTGACATATTTTCAGTGCATTCTCAATGGAAATCAAGTGGTTTATTTTACACAGAGAATTCTGATGTTACGTATGTAATACTATACAGAAATATTCTGATAGAGAGATACAGTTGTTCAATATTTATTATGCAATTATTCATAATAATCCGCATTCATATAGCAACATCAGATTATGCACAGATTACGCCCATTTTAGCGTACTTCCCTGGAAAAATGTATAAAATAGTGCGTTTTCTCATTTTATTAAAACGTTTTCATCAAATGTTTTAATGAAACATGATTTCCAGTCATTCCAGGTGGATTGGTTCATATTTCCGGTCCGAATTATGTCCTCATATCAATGCAATGAAGTTCCGGTCAGATAGCTTCTTAAATTATTGAATATTTTGTCAGCATTCGAGTTCCACTAATTGGAAATACATTAATATTCATAACTGTTCAACCATGAATTTGGGTTTTCATCGGGACATTTGAATGGCGTGAGATTTGGTTCAGTTTTCTTAGATTAAGCTGACATCCATTTCGATTGATTTATTAGATGATCCAATTCATATTTTCCAAAAACTATTCTGCTTTGCTCATCTCCAGATCCTTGTATTTGATCATAATCCACTCAAGCAAACGTAGGATTCAAATTTTCACCCGACTGCGCCATTTGTAATACTATACAGAAATATTCTGATAGAGAGATACAGTTGTTCAATATTCATTATTCAATTAAGTATAATAATCCTCATTCATATAGCATCATCAGATTATACAGAGATTATATTCTACTAAAACATTACAACGTATACAAAATATTATTTTACTAATAATGATAATAATAATAATAATAATTACTACAATAAAACTTTTCAAATTCAGTTATATCATTATATCCACATCTGATCTTGTAAATCAGCAAAGAGTTCACGAATTCCGTTCATGTTGATTGATATTGTAATTTATGGAATATCTGCAAACTCGAGAAGTTCTCTTCTTTGGCATCTGAAATGAACTATTTGTGAATTCCAAGTTACCTATCAATGAGATCTGCATATTATCTATCCTGCTGCAACAATAGTCAGATGGAAACAAAGACTTAGAAGTAGATCGCTTTTAGAACTGAAACTTCATGGTAGAGGTACGATGGATGTTCTCGAAGCGGAATATCAGTTTATACAACTAAATACCCAGATAGCACTGGACGTTGATTTTAGTTCCATTTTTGGTCTGAACGTCCACGACCTTGTATGGACGTTTCTAGGACGTCCATTATTGGACATACTCGGGACGTCCAGAAAAAGACCTCTCCGAAACGTCCAATTCACAGACACTAACGTATTTTTGTTTCAATAATTATAAGAAGGTATTTATTATTTTTGATATTGAAATGTTGATTATTTCAACTGATTTGTACCTACTATGTTGAATTATATTACTTCCATCACATAATAATACCTACAATTTGACCATTCTTCAGCCCACCAGTATTCATACACTCCACAGAATTATGAAAAATTCATGTCCGTATTCCAAAAATTACTCGATGATGGCCAAAATCAGCTCGAAACGCATCGAAACCGTAATACAGAGTGGGCCTTTGAAAACGAAACAGAAGCTCTGTAGGTCGCCAAAACCGGATTATCAAAAAAAAACTGAAACAGGTCAACTACATTTTCGAGGGGGACATCGCCCTACAATATTTTCAGCCCTGCGGCGTTGCCGCTGCTAACGAAAAGAAGCAACAACTTTGTTATTTCAAATGGAACACCTTGTATTTTATTGCATTTTTAGATTCTCCCCGAAAATCTGATTTCATCAATGCATCACACTTGGGGTCTAGCTGTAATGGTTTCAGGGATATAAAGTGTTCAAAATCGAGATTTTTCAACTTTAACATTTTTTTGTGTCGAAACTATTCATTATTGGTCAAAACGGCTCTCATGTCCCGATCTCAACTTGTGATTTACTATCTACTGACATTTATTTGAAACAAATACAGGGTGGTTCAAGATTCAGAATTCTGATCACCCTGTATCTGTTCCAATTAAATGTCAGTAGATAGTAAATCACAAGTTGAGATAGGGACATGAGAGCCGTTTCGACCAATAATGAATAGTTTCGACACAAAAAAATGTCAAAGTTGAAAAATCTCGATTTTGAACACTTTATATCCCTGAAACCATTACAGCTAGACCCCAAGTGTGATGAATTGATGAAATCAGCTCTTCGGGGAGAATCTGAAAATGCAATGAAATACAAGGTGTTCCATTTGAAATAACAAAGTTGTTGCTTCTTTTCGTTAGCAGCGGCAACGCCGCAGGGCTGAAAATATTGTAGGACGATGTCCCCCTCGAAAACGTAGTTGACGTGTTTCAGATTCTTTTCATAATCCGGTTTTGGCGACCTACATAGCCTCTGTTTCGTTTTCAAAGGCCCACTCTGTATGTAGTATAGCGTTGAAATCAGAATAAAACGGGCTATTCCAATCTGATATCAAAATATCGAAAAGAATGAAGTTGATCATGGTTGCTCACAGACGAAACGTTGGATCAGAAAATCAATGATGCCAAATTGAAAAACATCAAAAGTTGCCAAAAAGATATTTTCTCTGGAAATACAGTTTTTTGGAAATAATTCAAAAACGAAAAGTATCATATCAGAGATTTTTGAGAGTCATTTTGTTGATCCTTCACTCCGAATCTGTAACTCTCGGAGTCAGTGGCGGATTTCCTATGTCCAGACTGGACTTTTCATTAATAACAGGCATATATGGCAATTCGGAGAAGAAACTTAGTAGACTCGATTACCAGGTCGTCAGACTCCGGAAGGACCTTGAAACGACATACCAACCAGTTACGATCAACGCTGGTTTTCAAAAAGACAGTTACGTTCGGTCCCAGTCAGTCATTCGATGTTCCAAGGAGTTCGGCGGTTCTTGTAGCACTGATCAAGAACTACTGAACCATGATCATCATATAGGTGATCCAGCACGACCACAAAGACAGGGTATATATCCCATTCGATGGCTGAAAATGAAGGATATGGTTCCTTATCTCATCTTGAGAAGAAAAGTTCACATGAACATATGCCCTAAATCTCTTAACTTTCGACCTATACGTTGTTAAAATTTTGAGAAAAAAATCGTTTTATATCATAATCATTTTTCAATATCACTACCAATTTTCAAAAAAATATTGTACGCCCTTGATTTTTCTAAGAATAAAAATCATTTTTGAAATCCTCATTTTTTTTTTCAACAATTTGAGCTCCTGATTTTGTTTGTCCGACGAACCGAGAAATGGAAACAATTTTCATGCATTTGTGGCATAACGAAATTAATTTGTACTAGTAGGCTATGTCCTATTTTGTATTTGAAATAATGACATTTATAGTACCAAAGTTTAGAGGTTTAGGGAATATGTTCATATTATTATGAACTCCTCTTCTTAAAATGAACTAATAAGTAATCATATCCCATATTTTCAGCCATCAATTGAATTACACCCTGTATATAAATTCGAAGTTTTTCATGTATTTTCTGAATGAGTGAAGGCAAATGTAACCCTCACTATATTGATGATGGTGCAGATTGAGAAACACATTGTGACATACTGTCAGAATAAGATGAATAAAATCATGTCCTTCAAGACTCCAATGTTTTAGTTCCAACAAGAAAGTATATACCATCCTCAATTCACAGAATCATTTGAATATTCAAATATTTAACTCGCAATTAAGTGTTGAGATTTGATAATACACTCTTGTAAAAGTTACCATAACCAAGTCACAGTTAAAAGAATACAATAACCAAGTATGCCAAGGTGGCAGAGTATGTTAGAGCAAATAACTACATAGTTGTTTTATTCATTTTGTCAGGAAGAAATTGAAAATAACAAATTTGAATTTTAATGGAGTTAATATAATTCACGCCCATGAAACAAGGCATCAGTGAACTTTGATTCCATATCTACTAATCATTGACAATTTGATAACGTGGAATGCATTATAATATTTTCATTTTATATTTTATTATAACTTTCTTTTATAAAAAACAACCGCGACATGTTCACTGAAGACGAGTGTACTACCGTATACAGAGGGGTCTCTCGATGTCACGATAATCAGAACATTATTGAAATTATTATGTAAGTCGTTTTTTTTTGTTTTGAAGTAGAGAAACTTGTTTCAAACTTTTAAAATACTGTTTTC